TGATGTTTAGTTTCCTAGTGCTTTCTCAGTCTTCTTTTTTGATAGTTCCTTTGTGTTGTTTCTCAGTCTTATTTTAAAATATGCAAAAAATGTATATAAATAAGGCTCTTTGTCATTGCCTCATTCTTCCTTCCCCTCCCTGAGGTATTTTTTATACTTACTGGGTTGTCTTACTGCCCATTTTAGTTGTCTTGCTGAGAGCAACTACCTCTCTCTGTTCTGGGGCTGATTCTGCAGCCGCTTACACTAACAGGAATCGTACTAGTCCTTGCACTGGAGGCAAAATTGAAACTCTAGAGCCAGTAAATTATGTTCCCACTTTTTTGCTGGAGCAGGGGGATGGGGTAGCTGTGTTTACTGAGATTGTCACTTCTTTGGCCATTTCCTGGCACTCCATTGCAGAAGTGTCCTTTTTTAATAGAGAGGATTCTGTGTACTGGAAATCGTGTTTCTGTTGAAGGAAAGTTTGTTTTACTTTATGGGAGTCTTAGTCAAATTGAGAGTAATTTTTCTGAACTTCACTGTGTGTTACTAACTCATGACAGTGTACACAATCTGAGAAGAACAGCTACTGCTTCTTTGCTTTCTTCTGGTATGTTTTTGTAGGAGCTCTGTGGAGGTGAGCGAGAGACCTCATACCGCTTCATCAAACCCATGCTCCAGCGCGTGGGTGTGAAATCTGGCTCCCTTACAGTCAGTGGCAAAGTTCCTAATTATTTCAGTACAGCCAGGGTTTCTTGTTTCAGTAGAGCTGTGAGTTGTTCCCCACCCCATTCTCCCTTACCAGTGCCTGTTATGTCCCTCATGAAGTCTTCCATGCAAGTTTGGTTTTTGAACAAGTCCTTGGCTGTAGTGAAGCAGCTGTACTTTCTTCTCCCAAGTAATGCACTTTGGCTGAAAGAAAACCAAGCACTATGTTATGTCTCTTCTGTTCTACACCTCACCAACAATAAAGTCACATTTCTCCCAAGTATCTCTTCTTACCCTGGTTTGAACCAAGATGAAATAAAAGTGTATTTTTCTTGTTCAGTTGGTAGCACTGTATGTATAGGCCATCTCCTTGCTGCTTCTGCAGCATCGGTTGCTTCCATCATCAGTCTGGTTTTGCACATAGCATCAGTTCCCCAAAAGCTGATGAAGTGAACTAGGGTTAATAGCAAAACAGGGTTAATAGCAACATGGTTGTATGGAATGCTGTGAGTTCTAGTTCAAATTGGCATGCAGGACTTCAAGTTAGAGGCTTCTCTTAACCTACCAGAAATCATGATATAAAACATACAAATAGCAGCTGCTTATTGCCTTATCTACTCTTGTTGCTGATGTGTTTTAAACCCATGTCTGTAAAGCTGGATATGGCTGTAATGGAGAATTAGTTCAGGAAGAACCGGTATGTTACTGTAATGTCAACTGCAAGTGAAATGTGGATTTCTTTTGGAACATTTTTATTTGCATCATGGTGTATTTTTTGTGTGAGTGTAGTTATAATGCTGGGTTTACAAAAGGAGATTTAGAATCTTTTTAGGAACCCTATACATGAAAAAAAGTAGGTAGGGGAAATAGGTATTGCAGACAAAGCATAATTTGGACACCGTATCATTAGTGCCAATGGTGAGTGATGTTAAATATATGCTTACATTCCTTACATTTTTGTTGGCTTTAAAAAGCTTTGGATTCGGATTTAGCTTTGCATACTGCCTCCCTGCTATGGAAAAGGTGGTATGGTTCAAATAAATCACAAAACAATTACTTTGCAGAACCAACATGTTTATATTTTTCTGCACTATTTTGTTTTGTTTTGAAGGACATTGAGGTTCTGGAGTTTGTCCAAAGAAAAGCAGTGAAGTTGTTGAGGCGTTGAAGAGCACAAGTCTTAGGAGGAGCAGCTAAGGAGTCTGGGGTTCAGAAAAGGCTGAGGGGAGAACTTACGCTCTCTACAACAACCTGAAAGGAGGTTGTGGCAAGGTGGGGGTTGGTCTCTTCTCCCAAGCAACAAGTGGTAGAACAAGAGCAAATGGCCTCAAGTTGTGCCAGGGGAGGCTTAGATTGGATATTAGATAAAAATTCTTCACTGAAAGGGTTGTCAGACACTGGAACAAGCTGCCTGACGGTGGAGTGGATTCACCATCCCTGGAGGTATTTAAAAGACACATAGAATACCTGAATATCGGAGGTCAAGCTTCCTGGTTTTTGTTTGTCCCAACAGGAACACCAAGAGCCACCTGCAGAAAAGGCTGAATGCCAGCTGAAATAATCTTTATGAAATAAATATGCTTCTCATGAAAAATAGTCTGTGCTCAACATGAATTAGTGTGCTTAATGCTCAGCTGTAATGATGCCATAAGATTCCTTGAAGAAGAAATCTTCTAAAGACACCTTTCAACATCCTTTTATTTATGTCATTAATTTATTCTAGTGCACGCAAGCATCTGTTACAGGTTTATAGTGAAATCTTACCAAAATAACAGGACAGTGCTCAGTTACTAAAGCTTCAGAGCAACAGAAAAAAAAAAATTGAGGCTGTGGTAGAGTAGGTCACTGGGGAAGACTTTGTTGCCACTCACAAGCTATTCACCCTGGCATAAGCTTGGGAGTGGCTTTGTTTAGGCTGGTAAGAGACCTTCCAGGAAAGCCGGGGAGGGACATTTTACAAGGCATGTAGTGATAGAATAAGGGAGAATGGTTTTAAACTGGAAGAGGGAGATTTAGGTTAGGCATTAGGAAGAAATTCTCTAGTGTGAATGTGGTGAGACACTGGAAGAGGTTGCCCAGGGAAATTGTGGATGCCCCCTTCCTGGAAGTGTCCAAGGCCAAGTTGAACGGGGCTTTGAGCAACCTGGTCTTGTGGAAGGTGTCCCTGCCCATGCAGGGGGGTTGGAACTAGATGATCTTTAAGGTTGCTTCCAACCCAAACCATTCTATGAGTCTGTAAGTAATTATTATAATAAAAAATTTCATTTGTACTTCTCAAAGCACTGAGTCAAGATAGGTAAGTTAACAATTCCTGTTTTAGAGGGAGGAATATGCCAGCCTGAGCTAAATTATTTGTACAGGACTGAGGTTTCAAAGCAGAAACTGGTTGTACCAATGTCCCCTCTTGCCTCTGGGTAACTTGATCTGCTGTTTGATTAAAAATGTCTTGATTTGATAACAGCAGGTGTATTGTCAGAACAAAAAGGTAACCAGCTTGCAGTAGGTAAATAAACCAGCACTGTGAAACCTTAGTTCACTCTTGTCAGCTAAACTGAGAGCTATGTCTGGATGCATCTGCCTGGATATCCTCATGCTGTTTCACCATATGCCTTAGCTTTGGCATAGCTGTTTCAAAGGAGAGAAACCCTTCCCTTGGGAAAGGTTTTGTGTTGTGTTGAGACTTCACTGAACTGGTCAAAATGAGGGGGGATGTTGTGTGTTCATGGTACAGTTTCCTAAGAAAAAGATGCCAAATTAAGGCCAAAGAGTAATAGATATCAGATGTTTACTGTGTTTTGTTGCTATTTTTGGAGTTACTGGGTAAAGTTTAGGGGGTCTAAGCTTCTGCCTATAGTGGTATGTGTGCAGCATGAAATGTAATACACAGTTTCCTTCTCTCTCCCTATTCTACCATCATAAAATGGATTTGAACCGTTGACCCTGGAGACTTCTGTTGTGTCAGAGGGCTTCTGATTCCTATCATCTTTCTGATTTCTGAATTGTTTGAGTGGGTGTTTGAATTCACTCATTTTCATTGGAAGTCTTCTCTGAACAAGAGTATGAAATGGTGTGTATTTTGAGTTGCATGGTGGCATCCAGCACTCATAATTTAGCTGAACCCCTCCTTTTTGGGATATCTTGTAGTTAAGCAAGAACTTACCTTCCTAATGAGCTAATTTCTCATTTTCCAGTAAAAATAAAAATCACAAATATAGCTGTATTTAACATCAAAGCCTTCACTGATTTTGTTTCAGCTCTTATTTGGGAGCAGGCTGGGGAAGCAAGAGGTGGAAAGAGATCAAGCACTGTTTCAAAAAACAATAGCTTATTCTCAGTGTAAGCTGACAAGTAGTTAAATTGTGTAATGGCATTTTTTCTTTGTAGAAGATAAATTTTGCTAAAAGTAAACCTGCCCCTTAAGCTCTGTTTAGGCTATTATTAGTCATCCTCTTTGTGTCTAGCTTGCTCTTTCAGGTAGAGTCACTGCATTTAACAACCTCCTGTCAATCCTAATACTATTTTGGGGAGAGGAGAGAGCAGGAAGCAGGAGGAAGGGCATTTAGATGATGTGCCTTCCATGTGGCGATCACAAGCTAAGCTGGATTCAGAAAAAGGTGTGAATACCTCATGGATGATGTGATTGAGCACATCATTAAAGATGAAGGCTCAACGTTGTCATGATTGTCTCAAATATGAGTATTTATCTTCCTTTAGCAATTTTCTGCTCCCTAGTGCCACAGAGGACATGCAGGGACCCTGTGATGAGAGCCAGCACCTAGAGTACGGAGTTCGTGCATTGAGTGTGCTGTGTGTTTGTCTGTAATGTGGTCTTGGTACCAGGACCCTGAGTGGAGTAACTGGCCCATGGAGTGGCAGCAGATGGTTATCTTCTGTTTGATTTTGTTCACCTTTTACTGACTCAGGGAAGCTTTGCTTACTGTATTAAGGGCATGAGATAAGAGGCAGTATGTAGTTAAAAGCTATCACAGTGTCCATAGCTGCTCTTCACATGACTTTAAAGTATCCCCAGATATTTTTTTGTCTAACGTAGATACCAGTAACTTACTCTATTACTAAATCAGAATGCATTACATACGACACACTGAAGATGAACCACCTTGACGTGGCTGACTGCTGTATGTAGTACTTTTCCCCTATTTCTGTTTGTTTTGTTCAGGTTTTTTTTTGATTGGTTTTGGCTTGTGGTGGTTTTTTTCCAAACAAGAAAGTGGAGCAGAGAGTTGCACTCCTGAATTCTTTCCTTTTCTGACTTACGCTCCCTTTCTCCTGCTTCCTCTTTTCAGGTCAGTGCTCGGTTCTCAAAACGGATCCAGACAAAAATCAAGGACCTTCTGCAGCAGATGGAGGAGGGGCTGAAGACAGCAGATCCACATGACTGCTCTGCCTACACTGGGTGGACTGGTGAGAAAGCTGGAATTAGATTGAAGTGTGTTTGTTAAATGATGTAATTTGGTTTATTCACAGGAGGAGGTTCTGGAGAGCAGTGTAGGAGAAAGGGACCTGGGGGTTCTAATAGTGGACAGGAGGATGACCATGAGCCAGCAATGTGCCCTTGTGGCCAAGAAGGCCACTGGCATCCTGGGGTGTATGCGAAATCTGGGTGTGGTTAGTAGGTCAAGGGATGTTCCTCTCCCCCTCTATTCTGCCCTGGTGAGGCCGCATCTGGAATAGTGTGTCCAGTTCTGGGCCCCTCAGTTCAAGAAGGACAGGGAACTGCTTGAAAGAGTCCAGTGCAGAGCCACACAGATGATTAAAGGAGTGGAACGTCTCCCTTAGGAGGAAAGGCTGAGGGAGCTGGGCCTGTTTAGCTCGGAGGAGACTGAGGGGTGACCTCACCAAAGTTTACAAATACATTAAGGGTGAGTGTCAGGATGATGGAGCCAGGCTTTTTTCAGTGATGTCCAGTGATAGGACAAGGGGCAATGGGTGCAAACTGGAACATAGGAGGTTCCACGTAAACATCAGAAAAAACTTACTTCCTGTGAGAGTGACAGAGCCCTGGAACAGGCTGCCCAGAGAGGTTGTGGAGTCTCCTTCCCTGGAGACCCACCTGGACACGTTCCTGTGTGATGTGCTGTGGGTGACCCTGCTCTGGCAGGGGGGTTGGACTAGATGATCTTTCAAGGTTCCTTCCAACCCCTAAGATTCTGTGATTCTCTCTGTGATTCTGTATTCTCACTGCTATCTGGAATGGCTTCCATTGACTTCTGCAGACAAAGTTATAGAGAGATAATTGGCTTTTGTATATTTAGATCTTTGTCTTGCAAAATAAGTGGATTTTCTAAGGCTGCTCTTTCTTTCAGTTTACCCCTTGTTATTAGAAGGTTTTCTTCAAATAAGTTATTTTCACCTTTTTCTTTGAACTGACTATTAGCATTTGTCTAATGGTAACAACATCTTCTAATCATTTTGTGGGGAGTACGTGGGGGGGAGGTGTTCTGTGCCCAGCAGCTTGGAGTCAGGAATATGGATAGTTTGGCTGTGCTTGTTCTTCTGATCCTTGAGTCAGAGCCTGCTGTTGTCGAGCCTGATGCGGCCTCTGCTCTTTGAGCTGCCAACATGCTTTTCTGTCTAGGCCTCTTAAGTGCCACTTTGCTATTACAATGGCATATCCTATTCCTGCTCTGTATAGCTCACACTTTAGGCATACTTATGCCTTAGCACTGCATGTTTGAAATGTGCCCTGAGGATATCTCTTATCTTTGTGTCGAGAGGAGGAGCAGCATGTACAAACTCACCAGGCTTTGCCTGTCCTCAGGCTTAATTCTGGCAGTGAAAGGGTAAGATTTCTTTGCCTTCTTCTTGATGTTTTAGTACAGATGGTGCTGTGGGTGGATAGGTGGGGAAGTTTTAGACAACTCAGAATTAAATGATAGATGTGTTTTAAGGTCTGAAAGTGAGTGGCTGCTAAGTGAGTGCAGAAGTTTTCCAGTGGTGGGCCTTCTCATGCTGACATGAAATGGCTCCTGGGGAGCTGTGTTCTGACACTGTGACTGACAACTGAGGTTATGGCTGATAAACTAGAGCATGCTGAAAATGAGTCATAAGCTAAAAGTAACCCAGCCATCATTAGCGGAAACAAGAAGATAGATGAACAGATAACTCAGTCTAATGAGAGTGGGGTTTTTCCATCCTGTAGAAGGATAGCCAACTACGTCTTCCAGGTTGTAAATTTCTTTCAAGGCTCCTGTGGAAATGACTCTAAAGTATTTAAATAATCTGTTTTTTAAAATACATGGTGCATATACTTTCTTCCCAGACTTGCTCCTTGCAGCATTTTGATAGTGTGCAAATATTGGCAATGCAGTCCTGAGCATTGGCTTGTACTTTGTGAAGCACCTTTAGAATCTTGGAGCATATACTGCTGTCACGTAACAATCATAGGACTAATGTTAAGAGATCATCTCGCTTATACAAGTACCCTTTGTATGTGACAGGCATCTCAGAGGAGCCATGTTAAGGGCAGCATAAGAAAAGGTTACAGAAATCCCAGTAAATAGCCCACAAGTTCCTTTGCTACTGAATTGGGCTAACAAAGCTCTGCATCTCTCCTCTTGGGCTCATCTGGAAAGGACTGTTCAAAGCCAGTCTGGAGAGCATGTGTGAATGTACCAGCACTCTTGTGGTGCTGTTGTTCTTGTACATCTCAGGTGGCCTCTCTGTAGAGCTAGGTTGGCCTTGTGTGTACTTGGCTTTAGTTGTGGCTCAGGAGAGGGCTCTCCCAAGTCTGAAGTGAGTTTGAGATGCAGTATGGTCTGGAGGTAAATGTTTTGCTTGTGCACATGTGTGCTTGCAGTTGGCCAATAAACATCCACTTAGATGGATTTATTTCACTTTCTTCAATCTACATTGTTGCAATATTTAGGGTTTGTTTTGTTTTAATGGAAAACTGTGTAATGAGTTTAATTAAGTGAAGCTTGATATTACCTTCTGGCATTCTCTGAGGACTTGTTTGCTTTCTGGCTTTTACAAACCAGCTTAATTGTAGAAGCTCATAATCTTGTTATGAAATACATTTAGGCATTATAAAGGACTTGGCAAGTTGAATTCAGCAACTCAGCAAAAGATCCTTTTACAAATCAAATGGAAAATCAGTCACTTGTTGCACAGAATAAATGTTTATTGTGTGGTCAATGTACTTGGTCATACACATGCTTGTAAAGCCCAAGTTCTTAAGTCTTCTGTGATTTCTTCACACACCTGTATCATAATTTTTTCTCCATTCTCTGCAAATTGTGCGTTTACCAATGGGCTTGAGTCTGATAATTTTTATTGTTGTCACAATCCAAATTGAAGTCTAACCTAAATAAATGACCTTCCCTTTGCATAAGCTAGAACCTTTGACTGACATGCTTTAAGTGCCCAAATACCTCTTCGCATTTGAGTTACTGGTTCAAAGGCAGTAAAGAGAGGAATATGATATACTTAGAAGGAAAAGTATACAAAATTATCTCTTTCTTTGTGTGGTTGCAGGTATTGCCCTCTTATATTTGCAGCTGTACCGCGTCACAAAAAACCAGAGCCACCTGCAGAGATCTCTTGATTACGTGAAGAGAATCCTTCGCAATCTGAATGGCAGAAGAGTGACTTTCCTCTGTGGTGATGCTGGGCCACTGGCAGTGGGTGCAGTGGTTTATCACAAGCTGAAAAACGACAGTGAATCTAAAGAATGTGTTGCCAGGTAAGTGGTTGATGGTGGAAAAAGCCATGCCTCTCATTTGTAGAGAGCATTGGCCTGGTAAGATATACAAATGGGGTTTTGGAGGGCAGGATTTAAAAAAGGAGAGGCTTTCTGCCCTCATACATTCTCAGTAGAAGAATACAAAGTAGGCTTTATCTTTACGAAAGCTGGCTTGCACTTGATTCATATTTAATGGGTTATCTGGAGTCCTCTATTGCTGCAAGGAGAGGATGTCCTGGGCGTATCTGTAGTGCATACACGTTTGGATTTTGTTGCATGGAAGTGACATTTAACAAAAGCTCCACACTTGCCATGGGCAATATGTAGTGCTTGTGCAGGATGTGATGCTTCCTATAAAACATGTACATTGCAGGGATCAGGAAACATCCAGACAGAAACGTGATACATCAGATTGATATGTAACAAAGATTTCATAAAACAAAGAGGAGGTATTTTCTGAACAGTCAAAGGCAAGGGCTTTAATTAGGTCAGAGCATATGAAGGTTTACTTGAAAAAAATCCAGCCTTTTCTCGAAGTAATTTAAACATAACAAATGCCTTGAGAAATTCCATTTAGATGTGGAGCTTCCTTGGAGAGCTCACTGTCACTTTGCTGGTCCAGAGCTGACTGCTGTAGCCCAGAAAGGGCTACAAGCACTGGAGCCCCGTGGGGTTTGTATTCAGCCCCAGCAATCCACCTGCTAGCAGTCCAGCAGCACACCTAAGGCTGCCAGAATTTGCAGACTAGCCTTGTGTCTTCATCTCCATTCTGGTTTATATTTGGCAATATGATTGATTTCTTTCTAATCTAGAATCTTAGTGTTATTAATCTCTGCTGCTGCTCCAGAATGAATATTTCAGTTTTGAAATGGATCGTAGGTTTGGGTTTTTTTGTTTTGAGTATACTTGTGCATGTAGTTCTGGATGCAGCTGGGAAAGCAGTGTTGCTGTAAGGCAAGAAGCACGGGTATGGCAAAGTGAGATTAGTAAAAATCTTTTTAGTCTCACCTTTCCTTGGAGTGTCATTTCTAGAAGGACTGAAAAGGAGGTTAGTTTGATTGTTTCTTTTTGTCCTTTTTTGTTTACAAATATATTCATGACACCAGCTAAGTGATACATTATAGATGTCAAAATGTAGTCTATGATAATAGTTTTAATTTTTTACCTTGTAGCTGTCTAGTTGTATGGTTTTAGTAATAAAAGTTAACAGTTGATGGTTTAAAAGAAAATACTTTAAATCTAAGTCCAACGTGTAGTTCCAAGAAAAGAATGATAATGTAAAACTTTTTTTGTGAGTAGCTTTTCCCTGGTATTAAGCAGTGACAGCATAAGCAGTGACCCCCAGCTGTTGGGGTCAGTGTTTCTATTCTGGCATGATGTTAATGCTGATATTTCTGCTGAAAAATAGCAGTTGAGTGGGACCTGGGAATTTAATTTGGCCTTCATCCAGATTGTCTTGCCTGCTACCCCAATTTAAAATATGATCGTCTTCATGGTTTTATCTAATTGCCGATTTAATCACAAAAAAATAGGAAGATACAAGGAGGGAGTGGGCAGAAAACAGATCTCTGCTTCACCTCAAATCTAATGCAGATTAGTGGAGTAATAGCAGGGAGTCCCTTTGGAGCAAATGATAATTGCAGTGGTCAACCAAAAGGTTGTTTGTTGTTTTGGTTGTGGTTTTTTTTTCCATTGCTAAAGACAGGCAACACACTTGTGCATTATAGCAGTGCCCTTTTCAAAACTGAGATGCTAAACATTTGAGAGAACATGATGTCTAGGGAGGGGAGTGCTGAATGGGGAGTTGAGATTTTTTGTTTAGTTCCCTTTTGCACATGTACAGTTGCGGGTACTCACTTTGGTGAAATTCCCAGAGGGTCCAGGAGGTTTCCCTATTTGTTGGAGTAGTGCTCCAGCCTCCTCCAACCCTTCCCTTGCACCCATACATTTTTTTCTATCTGCACAAAAATTTGGTAGCTGCAGTAACACTCACCTGGCTCAGCCTGTTTGTCAGGGGTAGCAGGCACACAGAGCTCCTGTGCATAAACCTGGCAAGCAGCTGAACTGGAGATAACTGAAAGGCAGTTGTGGAGCTTCAACACTGATTCTGACTCTGTTTTAATTGGTGGCTTGTGCAGTACATAGTCCAATATGGTCTCTAGAGAAGATGCTTTCCCTCCCCACCTTCCTTCTCCAATGCAGGTTGCTGCAGCTCCAAAGGACAGTCATAAGTACAGATGCTGAACTTCCAGATGAGCTTCTTTATGGCAGAGCAGGGTACCTATATGCTTTGCTGTACCTGAATACTGAAATTGGTCCAGATACTGTCCCACAGTCTCTTATCAAAGAGGTAAGATACTTTTCTCTTTCCAGTGTCACAGCATCACTGAGGTTGAACTGGAATCACTTCTTTGCATAATTCAAGGGATTAAGAGAGGGATGCTGGAGAGGAACCTGGAACTGGGAACTCAGTCTCATCCATCCCTCCAGTCTCTTCCCCCTTTCCCTGCTGCCCAGCTGAGACTGAGGCAGGCAGAAGTTCAGAAGACTTTAAGTGAAAATAAGGAGAATTCAGTGTGGGAAAGATGCACATATTCTGCAGGTACCAGAGAAGGCAGGCCTGGAAGAAAATGAAGTATTAGATGAGAAGTATTTATATGTAAAATTTCTTTTCTTAGAAATGCAAGTGATTCCATCATTTAGGAAAAATTCCATTTCTGTCTCAACACTCAAGTCCAAAAAAGTTGAATATCGTTGTCCTGTCACTCTTTATTGTGGCTTCTTCTTTGCTGTGGTTTTAGTCATGACAAAGCAAAACCCTCTGAACCACAGCAAGTGAGACAGATGGAAGGAATGTGTTCTCTTTCTCAGGTAATAGATGCTATTATTGAATCGGGCAAGAACTTTTCCAAGGAGGAGCGGAAAACAGACCGTTGTCCTCTCCTGTACCAGTGGCACAGGAAGCAGTATGTTGGAGCAGCCCATGGAGTGGCTGGGATCTATTACATGCTCATGCAGGTAACAGTGGCTTTTGTGGGCTGGGGTGAAACGCCAGTGATTTCTTGTTTTGCAGCAGAGGTTCTTCAGCTTTCATGCATGTGCAGAGTCGTGCTGGGTCAAGGTATCACAGCTTGGAGTTAGTCTCTGCAGCACAAAACTGTGCAGAGATGCTGCTGCTCTGCTACCTGGGGACATGTGTTAACCTCACTACAGCCATTTTCTGCAGTGACCAGGCTCTCAGGCTGCTGTAATTTACTGTGCCCTTCACTTCCTGTTTTCTTCAACAAGGTGGTCCACCCCCTTCTGGCTACTTCATCTTTCTGGCTTCCATTTTGCCTTCCCTGGCTCTGCTAGGTTTTCTGAGAAACATCCCGTCCTTTAAAGAAACCTGTTCAAAGGCTCCATCCTTCACTTACTCTTCAAGGCTGATAGCAGAAATAATTGCACAGTGCTTTTTGGTTTAAGCAGAAGCTACTGTGTCTGCATGTTAAATTTGTAACTGTCTTTTCCTTTACACATAATTGCGGCTTTTAAGAATTACCACAAAACCATTGTTTATGCAGCATTAGATTACTGTCTTTTCATTGTACGTTAAATATTGTGAGTCATGCAGACTTGAGTCATCCACTGCAGAAGATGATGACAGACTTATCGGAGTCCATCATTTCCCCATCCCTCCTACATGGAATATGGAGGATTTTTCTGTGTTTTCATAAAGAATTCAGAAATTGGTTTGTTGAATGGTTGATAACAAACAAGGGTGTCCAACATAGCACCTGAGATGTGAAGGCTCATCGTTTCTGTACAACACCTTTATGAGGAAACATGTATTGCTGGATTTACTTAGAGAAGAGTACTGGAAGAATAAGAGCTCAGCAGCATTAAATAACTCATCCAGGAGATATGGAGGGAATTCTGAAGTGCTAACTAGAGAATCTCTAATCCTAAGCCCTTTTCACTAACCCTAAGACAAAAATGTCTGCTTATGTATTTTTGCTCTTGGCAAGAGAGTCAAGACACATACCTGTAGGTTACTTTCTTGCTGTTGGATGTAGGTGCTGGGAACCTCAGGAGCTTGGGCAAAAAATTGAGTTGTACTAAGGTATTCTCAGAAGCAAAAGGTGAGAAGGAAGTTTTGAAGAGTTCTGCTTTTATTGGATTTACCTCCCAAGGACAGACATGCTGGGCTGGACTAGGCTTGCTTTGCACAACTCAAGACTGAAGTCATTTATTGCTGGTATCCATCTGCTTTGCCTTCTACTGCAGGGGTGCAGCAGGAAATCAGACCCCGAAACAGCTTCCCCCTAGAGCCTCTCTACCCCACAGCTCAACATCTGAGTTAGGTCAGCTCCGGGATGTTCTTCAGGATAAGCTGATCTGTATTCAGGTGTACTTCTGATTAGCAGTGTGTGGGTTTCTGTTCCACTCAGAAAAGTGCAAAGGTGGAGTTTTCTTGAGGGACCTGATAGGTAGAAGTCTGGCAAAGTTCTCCTGGCTGATGTGAAATAGAGGCTCTTAGGTTTTTTTTAGGTTACTGGAAATACAGCTGCTGAAAGTCTTTCACTTGACTGTGAGACTGCCAGTTTTGACAGTGTGCTCACCTGTGGAATGCAAATGTGCTGGAGCTGGTGGAAAACAGTGAAATTGTATGACATTGAATCAGCAACAAAGACGAGTTATTTAAAAAAATAAGTTAGGAGGCTTCTGTAGGCTACAGTTTCTGCAGTTGTTCCCACAGCTTGCAGGAATTCCAGAAATTATGTAGGCTGTGTAAAAATAGAGATCTTTGTTATGAAAATACGGTAAAATGAGCTGGTAGAGGAGAAAATGCCAACTGAGAACAACTGCAGACCCAACAGGTATTTGGCTTCTAAACCTTTACTTGCAAGGAGCATACAGGTTGATGGATATGCTCTCCTTTTGGCAAGGATGTAAACTAAACAGAAGAAATGAGAGAGAAAATTCAGAAAAGCATTCTAAGGGTGAGTTTGTAGTGCAGAGGTGTTAGCTGCCTGGAGAGGTAGCTGTTGCTTCTGAAATTGGAAATGCAGATTTATAGCCCATAGCTTCAGGGAGTTTTGCTTATGATGGAAAACATTAACCTTCATAAAACCTTTGCCAGGTATGCCACTGCATACACTCTTCTTCATTTACTGGGAAATAGGACAGGTTTGTCTACATCTGTTATTTTTAAAACAAAATGTGTAACTCATTGTGTTTTGTGTACCATCTTTCTTGTGTAAGCGTTTACTATTTTAAGATATACAGAGAGGCCTTTGAGTCTTGGAATCTATATTCTGTTCCCAGTTCTTCCATAGCCTTCCTGTGTAACCTTCAGTAAGACAGGTGACAACTTGGTGCCCCAATTTCTTTGTCTCTACAGTAGCTGTAAAAACACTTCTCACAAGAGTATTGTAAGCAGACATTAATTAAATCTGTATGAAGTGTATTTGGATCAAGGACACATATGTAGGAGATTTGAAAATAGATCACAGAATTAACTGTTGAGACACGATTTGTTACTACTTTTGTCTATGGTTTTGATAGTGTTTTTCTTCATGTTCTCTTTAGCCAATTGCCAATGTGGACCAGGAGACACTGACAGAGCTGGTGAAGCCAAGCATTGACTATGTACGTCATAAAAAATTCCGATCTGGGAATTACCCGTCGTCACTGAGCAACGAGACTGACAGACTGGTTCACTGGTGCCATGGTGCTCCCGGAGTCATCCACATGCTCATGCAAGCTTATAAGGTGAATCACTCTGTGTTCATATAGACCTTTATTTTTACAGAGAGACCTAGATGCAAGGCCTGTCAGATTGTAAGGCTTGCATTTTATATCTTTCTAGATCCAGATTTTCAAACCAGAACCCTAGGCTAGGCACATTAAAATCTTGAAAGACTTACATACGTGTGTTTCTAAAAAGGAAATAAATGGGTAAAATTGTTTCTCAGGATGCTAGTAGTTACTAGACTTCCTTGGAAGAGGACCATGTATTTAAACAATTTTATATTGAGTCCTGAGTGTGAGAACATTGCCCTAAATTATTTGAATCTTCATCTCAGGAGTTTTAAAGAATTATGTTGGTTTTCAAAAGCATAGGTTCATGTGTCTTGCTAAAGAATGTCTTCCACAAATTACTTCATTATTAACATACAGCTTTAGAGATTTTAATGTCAGAGCAAAGATCCCAGGCCCCTTCTAGGGCATAAATATAACCACTGAGCCACCACAAGCCTACTGTTTGATTTTGTCCATCTCGCTTGTGTTGTGCACTTCTGATTTGCATGATGTCTGAAAGTATGCTTTTTAATTACATTTATGCAAATTGTTTCTGCACTTGATGGCCCTCCTTGGCAGATTTCCTGGTCAGCTTCTGGGTGGTCTGATGAAAACCAGGCTTGGTTATTAGAATAATTACTCGTGCTGGTACCTGAAATATGAACTGTGAATCTTTTACATCATTGCTGAATGTGGCAGCAGTCACCATTGCTTTTTCTTGGAGCTGTGGTAGGAGATTGACTTAACACTGCAGACTTCTTTTCCAGTCCTCCCTCCCTTCTCTGTCAATGCAATGCTTTCCCCAGCACAAAAAGTTTTGCAGGGAATAAGAGGGATAGGACCAACTTCTGTTTAGCAGTCTCCCTTCTGGTCTCATTTTATATGAAAGATGATGGGGCATATGATGCTTTTCCTTTACTCATTATAATCTGCTTTTTGAAGAAGAAGTAAGAAAAATTGGAGTATGTTTTTCTGGCTGTGCTTTCATACCAAGCACAGAGGCTTGTTTTAACAGACAGCAGTGTTTGTCCTTGAAATCAAATGTTGTTGCCAGGCCTTGATTTGAAATGTTCATAGAATGATGTTACAGCTAAGTAGCTGACAAACCGTGTTCAGAGAAAGGGACTGTTCTTTGTCAAGCTTGTGGATTTAAGAATCTTGCCTGTTAATTGCTTCTTACCTTAATCAAATAGCATCGTTGCTGGGGCTGCTGTCTGTAAAGGACTAAGTCTACAGTAGTGCATCAATTACTACTCTTTTTTGTCTTGTTGATCTGTGGAGTGACTTAGGCAAAGGGGAGCAGAAAAAGCAGTCTTATAAAGGTGAAAGTCTGGTGTTCGTCTGAACTAATTGGGTTTGGTTTTTGCTCTCCTGGTGGACTCTCTGGGTCCAAAATACACTTCAGTTGCAACAAACTTTGTAAAGTTGGTCCTTTGCCCAAACTGGCTGGTGCTTCTGAGCAATTCCAATGTAAATACTAATCAAGGTAATAGAATATTCCTACTTAAACTTGTGACAGAGAAGAGCCCTGTGCTACGCAAAAAGATGTTCTCATACATTTTTTACATGGAACTGAAGGCAGATGGTGAGTAACCAGCAACAATTATTCAGAAAGGGCAGGACGTAGCCCTTTAGGAACAGATATCATGGCCAGTATTCTGTGTTACATTTCTTGGAGAGAAGAATTACATTTCTGTATTTTAAATCAAGTAATGAAATGTTAGGGAAATGAGGGGGAGAAGCAAAAAAAGACCATGCATGCTTCAAATAGATTACAGGTTGTAGAGCCAAGGGCCTTGAACTTGAGGGATTTTTACCTTGGGGTCCTGATTTTGGAAACAAAAACTTGAAAATATCTTGCTTCTCATTTCTCTGCATGGAAAAGGAACTTAACAAGAAAATAAATTTAAGCTTAAGACAAACGGATTAATAAAATTGAAAATAAATTTCATATTAAAACCCCCATACTAATAGCAAAACATCTCTTGCTTTTGTTTTCTTTAGTACTTCCATTTATGTGCATTTGTTTTCTGTTATTCCACAGACCTTTAAAGAGGATAAATACTTGAAAGATGCCATGGACTGTAGTGATGTCATCTGGCAGAGAGGTTTATTGAGGAAAGGGTATGGGATCTGCCATGGTACTGCTGGCAATGGCTACTCCTTCTTGTCTCTCTATAACCTAACTCAGGACAAAAAGTACCTCTACCGAGCTTGCAAGGTGAGCTTTGAACATCCCAACAAAATTACTGCTCCTTTTCACATCGTAGGAATAAATTGCAGTTGGAGTAGTGTGGGTTTTGGCTGGTTGGCTGGCTGTGTGGGACAACTGTGTCCCATCACTTGCTCCCCTTGGCTCACACTTTGACTGGACAACTTCAACTGTGTACATGGAACATGCACCCTCTTAATATGCAGGGTGGAATGTAGAAATGTTCTGTGAGGGGGGAGGATCTAAAGACATACTCAAACAAAAGTAGTCTGAAAATCAGCCTGCCTGAACAGTTAAGACTCATTTTATGTGGTGCTAATTATTCCATTGAGACATCCACTGTTGTCCTTAGCTTCTCAAGCAATACTGTTTGTAGTCTTTTGTAATTATTTTTTTTTTAAACTAGTGTCTGTTTGGGCCTTTTGGAGATCTGAATTGCAGTTATTAAATTGCTCACTTGGATTTTTTTTAGTAATACAAATGGCGGAGAAAGATAGACTTGGAATCTTTCCACTGGTGTTGTCCAGGTTTTGTGCTTGGCTCTGAATATGCTAGTTAGAGAAGAAGGCTTTCTCAGCCTCTCTTTCCTCATCTCATAAGACTAGTTTGGTTTGGTTTCTTGGGGATTTTTTTCAGCCTAATTAATGGATATCAGGTTTCATATTACATACATAGCTATTTATCTGAGGCCTTTTAAAAAGTTATGTAATGGGAAAGTTGTGGGTTGCTTCCTAGATGTTTTCAGATGAGTGCTGGCCATATGTAGAGTGAAGCTGTTGTATTCATCTCCACTGTCAGCCTATCCTACATCAGCAGAGCTTTAAAAGTTGCTGCTTGTCTCATATTTACGAAAGCCTGACACCATGAGAAATCCCTTGTTACCTCTTAGGAGTCGTGAAGTTATTTTGCAAATGAACCAGAAGAGCATGAAAGGCCAAGGCTCACAGATACCCCCTGGCTTATTCTTCTCACTTTTGGCTTCACAACTTTTCTCCAACATTATCTGACAGGCTTCTGGAGGCTGAGCTACTCCTAGCTTGGCCTGCCTGTAGGAAGAGAGAGAAGGGAGCTGTGGTATCTGGGACTTTAAGGTGTCTGGGCACAGAGAACATCTGAGCCCTGTGCTGCTCAGCATTTTGATTAAGCCACTGCTGATGGCAAGCATGCTCACTCTATGTGACATAAATAATAATAATGGCAGATGTCTTCCTGCTAGAATATATATATATGTAATTCTTTTTTTCCTCTTGGTTTAACAAAGATACTAGTGTGCCTTACTGGATCTGTGAGTTGTTCTGAAGCTATGAACTTGTAAATTATGGTTGTGCTTCTGTGCCCTGGGGTGCATTTTTAAAATTTCTGTTACAGTTCCCAGGCTGGCAGTAATAATAAAAGGCTAGTATGCAATAAGATGTGGCAAGAATTGATTGTAGTTCAGAAACATGCCATGTACATGTTCTGTCCTCACGTATAAGACAAGATCACATAGAGAGTTAAACCTTGGTTTGAAGATTTATACCCGTGGAGGCCCCAAAAATGTTTCATCACTTCTCAGTGTGGACCACAATGTTTGTGGTTTTTTTGCTGGGTTTCCTTAAAACATTCCCACACATGCACATGTGTCTAGCAAGAGAAGGAAAATCCATCCCCCAATAAAGATTTAAACAGAACGGAATGGGGAGAAGGTAGGAGGAGATGCCACACTTTGTGCTTCTGTGGAACAGGTTGGTGGTTCTGGAGGCAAACTCACACCCCATATAGCTCTACCTCTAGAGCTGAGGGTGATCTGTTTGCTAACAGGTTGCCCTAATTTCAGGGGGAGCAGGGAGAGCCCCCTTAGTTCTTTGCTGTGCAGGAATCTTGGCACTGTATTTTGCATAGGCAGTGGTTTGCTTCCAAGCACAGAAATACCAGGGCAACTTCTGTCCCCTGCTGTGCTCTGGGGAGCCATAAAGGAGAAATAGGTGGTTGTTATGAAGCTGATCCAGATGCAGTTTGTAAGTCATGAATGTCTAATGTAGCTACTGCAGCAGTGTTGATCAAACAGAAGAAAGAGATTGTTAACTCTTTTAATAAGATTCCATCATCTGCAACAAAATACTGATGACCATGATTGTCTAACTGCATTTAGAATGATTTTTTCATAAAGCTTGGGGAGAGTAATGTAATAAAACTAAGCAATGGCAGCTGGAGATTTAATACCAAAATGCAATTAACAACCCCGAGTCCTGAGTACGTGGATAAATTAAGCACCAAGAAATTATAGTATTAGAAAAATGTTACTCTTGAAACTGAATCTGTCTGTTCTTGTGGCATTGTTCATTGATGTGTAGCAGGGCTGATTTACAGAAAACAAAAGGACAGCGCACCTAATCACATTGTTACAAAACTGAAACTTGCACTGTGGAAATAGAGATCCTGAAACCTAATTGCAGCCTTGTCACAGTTGAAGTGGGACAGACTGATCACAGACAGGGATTTCTGTGTCGTATCTTTGCTTGCTCAATTTGACATGTAGTACCTAGTAAAGATACACAGATACTCAAGCTTGCATTTGAGGGTCTTACAAAGTGTATGATTTTTTTTCATGTTTTCCCCAGTTTGCTGAGTGGTGTTTGGAGTATGGTGCACATGGATGTCGTATTCCTGACAGACCTTATTCTCTCTTTGAAGGTAAAGTGATGGTGTTGCAAATGGCATTGTATTATATAGGAAAGAAGGGCAACCTTGCCATTTTGAAACATGCTTAGCAGTTGGGAAATCTTTGGTGGGGTTTTTCTACTATTAAAAATAAACCCACCCCCCATCTCTGCCTAAAAGAAGGTGGGGGAAGACAAAATAATTCACTGTCACAACTTGCACTTTTGTTTGCATTTCAGCAGTTCCCAGTGTCAAGCCAGTGCTGGTGTCATTCTTGAATAAAACTCTCTTGTGCTGGTTGGCTTAAAGCAAACAGAAATCCAGGCAGCAGTTCTGTCACAGGTTCTGTAGCCAAGGGACTGGGCAGAGGAGCAACTGTGGGTAGGGAGTCTCAAAGTAGTTGCTGGCTTGTCAGAACCAGACCTTCTCTGCTGCAGTACTAAAGCAAGGAAAACATTTGAAACAGAAAATAAATACAGAGTTTTTAGAGGCTTTTCTGTAAGTTCAAGGATGTTGCCACATAGTTTCCTTGAGGTCTGTATTTCTTGTAGATTATTTTATATTCCTTATCTCATGATTTAGAAACATGGTAGCAAGGAACGATAAGCCCAAGTAAGATTTAAAGTGCTGCTGCTTCACAAACAGTGAGCCTAGTGTGCCACCTATCACGAATATGTGAAATTACAGCAGACTGAATAGAATTATTTTACAAATAAACCAATCCAAGGTGTGTACACACGAGAGCAGTAGTTATATGCATCCCTTTTAAATATAGAGCAATTGTCGTAATGTTTAAGGGAGAAAAGTCTAAGTATTCTAACTCCTGAGAGCTCCCTTGCATGTATGTTGTGTCTGTCCTGTCCATTGTATAAGACCTTTGAAGTCTGTTGAGGTGAAGTAATGCCAACTGTAGGATGGTTTGTGCTTTCTTGCTGACATACAACTTTAAGTTTTTTAACGCCAATGATTTATTTGTAGAAAAATGTTTTCAAATTTGAGACAAAAAAGTCTTAATTTTGGTGAATATTTTTGTAGCCAAAATTATGCTTGAAGTTGCCCAATTCTGCATGTTATATGGACACTGTGGAAGTTGCATGTGCACCTTACAGGACTGTCTTAATCATTTCATTTACATCAGATGCTGTATTTCAGGAAGGTTCCTCTGTTTGTATGTGATGAGCTATTGATAAAACAGGATTTTAGCTTGATCATAAAACTGAGCTTGTGTTTGTATGCTGTCCTGCTGTAGGGTGTCTCTGCTGTCTGTCACCCTGAGAGTTTCATTAGGTGATGCTTCTGTTAGTGCTTCAGGCTCTGGATGACCTCTTTATGAATAGCAAGCAAATGACTCTGTACATCACAAGTATAATAAAGCTTTGCCTTTGGTTGTTTTTTTTTTCACCAGTGAAATGATGAGCAAGAGCTGCTCAGATTCTGAGAGATAGTCCAAATGGGGATTTACTTTTTCTGAATTGAAGTAGCATTGAGGTTGTGCAGCTGAAAAGATGGTGGTAGAGAGATCTCGGTTCTTGCCTTTGGACTTCCCAAGTGCAACTTGGTTTACTGGGCAAAGTACAGATGAACTTGCTTTTTTATAGTCTGTAAGTTCACCTGTTGGAAAGGAGATTCTAGTGAGGTGTTCAAACACGTGCTGTTGCCTTTACTTTCAACTGTGCTGTTTTAATGTCAAAGATACACAAAGATCTCTTTCTCATTACATTTTAGGCATGGCTGGAGCTATTCACTTCCTCTCAGATATTTCAGTACCGGAGGCTTCCCAGTTTCCAGCGTTTGAACTTGGACCTCAAAGGAGGGAAAACAAAGTGGAACAGGACAGCTAAAAGATCATTTTGAAAGGAAACTGATGCCAAAAGAGATGGGACTGTTTAGTGCCTCTGATACTGAACCAACTCAGCACTGAACCGACGGATGGATTAACCCTTTTTTCACCGCCCCCTGCCCCAGAGGACCGTGAAGTCATTAGAGCATGTAGAGGAGAAGCCACATCTAAGTTCTGTTAAAGTGACATGTTCAGATGTAGGACAAGAGAAGTCAAGTTTTGAACTTTCTCTCTTCTGTTGTATTTGTCTTCTTCAGGTCTTTGACATGCTCTGCACGTTTATTGGTGTTGTCTGTTGAGTCAAGTCTTTTGTCGTTAGCAACAAGCTGGTCCCTGTGTGAATCTCTGTCCTGTACCTCCGTGCATGACTCACAGCAGCGGTGTTGCTTTCTGCAGTGTGGTTACCCAGAGAGTTCCACCTTGATGCCAGTTTGCTGCAGGGCAGTGCCCAGCTTCACCGGAGAGCTGGCAGTTTCAAACAGAGATGAAAACACGTTCTTGCGGTCATATTTTTCTGCATTTTTCTCCTTGGTGATGGAGGTGAGCCTTTTGTTGATGCAGAGGTAAGAGGCCACCACAGTTTTCCGAAATTTAGCAGGTTGGAATGGACCTGACTTTGTCTTTTGCTTCTGCTGTGGGAGTTTTTTTTAGAAAGCCTGAAAAGAGAGGCTTCCTTGATACCTGAACCTGATCAGTGTGTTAAGCACTTGCAGCACAGTGGACATGGTTGTTTTCACCTCTGCAAAGCCCCATCCCATGGCACAGGTTTAACAAACTGAAGGTGTAATCACTTATACTAACCTCCTGCTGCCACCAGGAGCAGCATAACTGTGCTTCCCCTCTCCTGTAAGAGGATTTTTAATAAACCTGTCCTGCAGCATCTTGTATGCTAGTGAGTAAAGGAGGGCAGCAGGGCAGTTTCTCATGCTGGTGACTTGGGATGACTGTTGCTTCCAAAACAAGGTGGTGATTTGTTCTGGGCCCCTCCCTCTCCTCCCAGCCCCGCTGCATTTAGCCCATATAGTATGATAGGACTCACCAGCTGCTTGTGAAGGCTGCAGAAAATTTGTGAGCAATATGAAACCGTTGCTAGAGTAATTACAGTTGATTTCATCTTAAAATCCAAACAGAGAAGGCCCTTTGCCCTTCATTTTAACTGTGCTGCTAGTGCTTTGCTTCCCCTTGTAGTGTGGTAGGGTTGTGAAATACTAGACCTACCTCCAGGTGCTCCTGAGGATCAGGCTTTTGGTTTGAGAAGAGCACTTAGAGCAGGCTTATGTGTTGCAGGTAGCAAGCAGGCTCACAGCTTGGGCAAGGTAAGGAGGTGTAGCACACACTCACTCTCTCCAGCTCTGCTGTCATCCTTCCCCCAGGTCACCTTGTTCTCTGTCATTCCAGGTGCTTATTTTAATTGATACCTTTTGTTGGGTGCCAGTGTGACAGATGGCAGAGACTTTGACCTTTCAGAGGTGCACTGGGATGTATGTGACCTGTGGGCCATCTGCTGAGCGCCACTGTTTGCTGTCAAGCTTGGGAGATACACGGTTGCCCCTGCGTAAATCTCTGAACAGTAGTGGGTGACTTATTTGAACTTAATATATTATCTGGTGCCAGATCCGTTGGCATGTTAATAATCTCCACATTCAGTTCTCCTGGGCAAGAGCAGCAGTGCCTGTGCAGGGACAGCTTAATGTCACAGTGTAGCTCATCTGGTTTGTCAGGTAGGACTAAGACGGGAGCAGCAGCAGGACTTTTCCACCCCTCTGGCAAAGGGCAGCAGATGAGGTGATGGGGCACCAAACCCAGCTGCATCTGTACAGGGATGAGGGAAGCTGCATGCCAAGCAGCTGGGGGGAAGCAAACTGGAGCAGAAGGGCAGAAAGGGGAGGGATCAGAGAAACGGGAGGAGCCGATTACAGGAAGCAATGCACAGAGGGTACCAGTAGAGGCCGTATCAAATGAGATGTTCCTCCTGTCAAGCATGCTAAAGTCTACTGCTTCTTTCTTTAGCCTGTGGGTGACTGATCCTGCCCATAGACAAGCCAGGGAGGAAACTAACCTAGGGTCAAGTCTCGGCACAAATCCTAGCAGAAGAGGTGGGTGGCATCCCTGATCTTGTTTGACACCATCCCACCATTTTTCCTTCCCCTCTGCTGGGAGTGCAGAGGATGTGGGAGGGTTAGCAGGGAGGAGGCTTGCCAGGTCTGCAGGAACTGCCTGCAAACACAGAACAGAAGCCACCAGCCCCTCTGGCAGATCCTGAGCCTGCATCCTGCTGACCACTGAACTTACAGGGTCAACAGGCACGTTGGTTCATTCAGTGATTATATACACAGAAACCTTCTTGGCTGCTCAGCTTAGAGTGGCACCTGTGGGAGGTCATTTTGGCTAGCTGGAACCTAAGGGGAATTAAAACTTGCTGGTTTAAAAAAAATACATAGGTATATACACACTTAGAACAGCTTAATACTGAGCAGACCTCTGAGATGTGTGAGTACACCCACTGAAATAAGGAACAAGTTAGCTACCAGCTCATTCTGTACTGTAGGCAGCCTGCTGATGTGGTGGGGCCTGGCACAGTCTTTCCCCATAGAATCCTCTTGGAATTGACAAGATTACAACCATAATGTATCAAGTCAGGAAGGATCTGACAATGCATCTGATTCATCTTCCTGACATGACTTTCCCTGTGGCTCCTCCTTTCTGTTTGTCACACTGTTGTGATATCCAGGTGGCCCATTTAGAAAGGATACAGCGTGAAGGTGAAAAAACATGTATTTCATCAAGGCATTATCCCATCAAACTAAAATGTGAAAAATGTTTTAATATTCCCTGGTTTGCTTTGTCCGTGTGTTATAGTCCATCTGTTGCAAAAAGCAGTTAGTGTTTAAAATGGAGATGCTCTTTGGGCAGAAAAAAAGTGGGGGGGGGAAATGCTGATGTTTTGTTCTTTGGCTTTATTAGTAAAGATCAAGCTATGTGGTGGTAATTGGTGTGGTTCTCTTGTGGTTTTTTTCCTGTTGTACACCATCCTTCTTCCAGCACGCTGGTGATATCTGTCCCACTGATCTGACTGCTGAACTGCCTCCCAAGCTGACAGTCCTGCAGGATGGAGCACATGCCAGAAAGTGGACAAATGGCTTGTTTTTTACTTCTGGCAGCATTAAAGATACTGCTGCTGCTCCAGGTGATCTTTAGTGTGCATTGCTTAGTGCCTAGTGTTGCTTTCCTTTCTGGTCACATATAGGTCCTGTTGAACAGTTTGCAGCTGAAGCCAGACTTGTGTATAGCTGATTTTTAAGAGCACACGTATGAAATCTCTGTCCAGCTGCCTACCATCTGTTTTCCAGCCTTGGGAAAGCTTGATGTTTTTCCCTAGCTAGGCTTTAACAGAAGGAAACTTCAAGTACGCTGCAAGCAAGGGGTGGCATTTCTGTTTCACAAAGCCCCACATGCCACTCATGGCCCTCTGGCACTGAAAGCAGCTCCTGCTTTTTTTGAATTAATAGCATTATTTCTGGGCTGTAGGATCCTGAAGATCTTCTAGCAAAGAAGTCTCTGTAACATCAAAATAGAGTAGAGGAGAGGGGAGAAAGCATCTGTGCTGCATCTCAGGTACTAGCCAGGCAGCAGCCTGCTGCCTGAGCCCTGCCCCATCAGAGAGCTGGGATGCAGCAGTTTTTTTCCTGGTTGAATTGTTCACTTCCTCCCCTTTGTTTTCCTTGATTTTATGTCGACTCACAGGCACAAGAAGCCAGTCTCTGAACAGCAGAGCCCTGATATTTTGCATGCAGGGAGCAGTAAAGACCTGTCTTAAACCACTGCTTCTCCATGACATCTGCAAATGGGCTGCTGAAAATCCAGCTGCAGCTATTAGATAGTTAGGGTCAGGCAGCAGGAGAAAAATAGGTATAGATGGAGCTACAGACACTTGTCTTGTGACTTCTTTCTCTACACAAAGCCAAAAATAACTAAGGGGCTGGGGTCAAAGGGCTAAAGTTGACACTTTTCCTTCTGCTGTTCACTTCACCTTGCAGCATGTGGCAGCTCGGGATGGTGGCTGCCAGTTGTACCTCTCCTTTTTTAAATAGCATTATTATCTAGCAGTTGCTTCATAGAAACAGCCTTATGCTGGATCTTCCCCTGTCTGGTCTCTGTAGTAGTTTCCCTGTCCCAGAGGACACAGAACTGAAATCCCTGAAGGCAGCTCAGCCCCCCAGGGATAGGGAAGAGCTCCCACAGCCACTGGGCCTGCAAAAACATCCTGGTCCATTTTTCTCACCTACCAAATTAGCAGTGATGCAGTAATTAGACCAGAAAAATAAGAAAATAAAAATAATTTTTAAAAGTCTATGCTATCTGACAAGATACTTGATCTTTTTGGCTGACCCTCATGCCAAAATGTGGCTTCTTGGGTATATGTATATAAAAACTAATCCATCTGAGGGTCCTGGGCTTGTTTCTTTGAAGTAGGAAGAAAGAGCAACACCTCCTTGTCTTCTTCACACAGGCTGAAGATGCTGTTTGAAAACATAGTTCCCAGCTGTTGGTTTTTCACAGCAGTGTAAGCCCTCTCAGGGCTCTAAAGAAAAAAAACCCAAAAAACAACCCCCACACAAACCAAAACAGCTTGTCACAACATTATCTTTTCCCACAGTGATAATGAAACCCAGCCACAGCTGCCTGGCCACCCCAAAGAGAAGTGGCAGGGTTGGTACCATCCTTGTCAAGCTGGGTCCTATTTATAGCCCAACTGGTGAGTCAGCCTGCTAATTACTGAGAGGCACAGAAGGCAGTGCAGGATGCTGCAGGTGACCTTTGCTCCTCTCCTGGATACTGAGTCACACCAGAGAGAAGGTGGAGGGGAAAATCAAGACTAAAAATCCACACAAAGATGGTGGTACTTCAGCAGCCTCAGCCCGACAGCATGGCCTTGAGGGGCTGCCTCACCCACACCTTGGCAGAGGTGGTTCAGCTGCCCTGGGCCTGACAGCAAGTGCTGGGGCCACATATATGCTGGAAGGCTGAAGCAGCAAAACTTTAAGAACCCTCAGACTGCAATGAACTTGAGCCATTAATACAGAGCCTTCCCTCAGCAGACATAAGGCAGTGAGCATGTTGGTGGGAAGAAAGTTACTTTCCTGGGGGGGTATCCTGAGCCCAAGTGATGCCTGCCTTCAGTGTGAGCCTCAGGAAGTTGGAGCTGTCACCAGTGGCTGAAGGGTGAGCTTTAGTCCACTCTGGGCTGGGAGACACGTGGCTTGTGGGATGGAGGTCAGGCAGCACTCGCTGGATCCTTCATCAAGAGCCAGGGTGGATGGTGTGTTGGTCACCTACGGGTGACCTGCCTACAGGTAAGAAACTGCTGACAGAAAGGGAAGCAAAGTGGGGCTTCTACATCACCCCAGCAATGGTAGAACAACAAGGAGCTGGAACCTGCTCAGAAGGAACATGCCTGTGGTTGGGAAGGTTTGCTGCATGAGGAGATGGCCTGTTGAGAGCTACAGAATCTCAGGAGCACTGCCTTTAATAGCCCTTCAGAGAGAAATTTGATGACAGAGTGCCTGGAGGCACAAGCTGCACACAAGAATGAGGTCCTTACAAATCTACAAAGACCCCTGCTCATTCCCTCCCTGCATGATCCTCCAGGAGGAAAGAGCAGAGCACATCCAGTCCTCAATAATCTTTGGCCTTCATGAAGACAGGACTGACAGTGAAACCTCTGGCTGAAAACCATCTGCCCAGCCACAGAAAGGGCAGGTCCCCCCCACAGCACAGCCAGGGCTTGTTGTACCTGCCTTGGACATTAAAAGGACTGGCCACATCAGAGCTATAGACAAGGTGTATCAAGAATGCCTGGTAGTGCATTTTCCTCTCAAAGCAGCGTAACTGGAGACTGATGCCCCTTCTCATTCCCATTTCTGCCTGCATCACAGCAGCAGAGACCTCAAGAGTTTCCTTTCCCATCTAGTCACATTTCCCCCCAGTCACTGCCTCCTCTCAGGTACATTAGACACTTTTTTGAGGACACACAAGCAAAGAAAGGACCTTAAGGGGGTACAGTTTATGTTCCTGGCTCTCTCCCAGGCTCAGTATCTCAGCTTGAGCATCTCCATTCTGCCCAAGCCCTGTTCAAGGTGTTTAAATTATCCACCTATCAAAACACCTCTGCAAGAACTAGGAGACTGATTCTCACAAAATATCAAATCAACTTCCTGATACAGATGGCCAGATCTCAAAGGCAGGTAGGAAGTCAGTCCCATACCCTGCTCTTGGTGCCCCCACAGCTCCTAGCACCAAACTTACTTCACAGTCGAAACACCAACCTGCTTTGTCAGCGAGGCACCAGAATCTCTGTTGTGTTAGAGAATGAGGACACAGCAGCAGCACCCAGAGAATTCAACTGAGGAATCCCAACAGATAAAGCAGCAACACACCACAGGGAAGGCCACATTAGCAAAGCTGCAGCAGCTGGCAGCTCCTAGGACATAACTACTGCCAAGTAATATCCAGGTGGAAGATGAGGTTTTCCTTCTCCTGCAGGACTGCACACCTGACATCAGTGCCTGTCCTCTCCAGTAGTGTGCCTGTAGCCTGTGTTTCACATCTGGTTTGCTGAAGTGCTGTTGAGTACAAGTCTCTTGGTGGCATGAGCCCTGCTGCCTCTCCTCCTCTGCACACAAGAGGTCACACTCCTAACTCGGTAATACAAAGAACTTCAAGCATACAGCTCAGGAAAGAGCAACGAAGAGAGCTGGAGGTGCAGCAACATCTCATCCTACTTTAATAAACTGCATTTCGAAAGAAAGCCTGCACAATTTTATGAGCAACCCAAGTCCCCAAGACTGTAGACAGACCTACTTCTGCTCCATCCGTCCTCCAACCCACTCACCCAACCATGCAAAATGAACAATGTCCACTCCTAGCACCTTCACATTATTAGTATCACCCTGCCAAAAGTAACAGGGCTTCTACCATCTTTCTCCACACACACCTTTTTCTTTTTTGTTTCTTTTTTAAGCTAAGAGGGGAAAGAAAAAAAAAGTGAAAAAATAAACCCTAAAATCTTCCAAAAGCAAGGTAATGAGGGGCAAGGCATGTATACAGTTTACAAGCAATTCATACAGCTGCCCACACAGCCAGTGTATTTTCAAGAGGAGACCAAGGAAATTTGCTAGCAGAGGAGTGTGTGTGTGTTGTAAGACATAGTGTCATCCACCAACATCAGCAAATAAACGAGCCAGGCTTCAGGAAAGCTTCCCCAGAGGTTGAAATTCAATGTACAGTTTAAGAATTCACTATAAAAGGCTTCTATTCAAAACCAGGAAAACACCAGCTCTCACAGATACATTTTGTAATATAAAAGGACTTGACAACATCTATCTAGTAACATGAGGTCTGTTGCCATTTCTATTGACAGAAAAAGAGAGGTTGGATTTGCTTCTAAAAAATTGTATCCTGTGCACACAACCATATTCAGTGACATCAGCAGCTTTAAACTGCAAGTGCACACTAATTTAGGAAATATAAACAGTTGTGGTGTGCAGGCGGATGGACTTAGTGATAACACAGAAAATGTACTTTCCTGTATCATAAGTGTCTGCTGAGCCCACACTGCACAAACTGAGGTCTTTTGCTTTGTCCCTTACAATGGTGCATAACAAGGGAAAGCCTTAGTTACCATTTCACCCAAGTCAGGGCTGTGGTAATGAGCTTCTCAAAAGCTCACTCAGCTCCAGATGACTGCTAACTCCACCAGCAGCTTTTAGAAACAGTGACCCTTGCCAGATTTTCTGTTGGAGACAAGTTCCTAGTAGTTCTGCCCATTCACAAACCTAGCTGGCCACCTAGGAAGTTCTCACAAGCCACTGGCACACAGGAACAGCACTAGCAGCACGGCTCTCAGATGACTCCAGACCACCTCAGGGTAACCTCTGTGCCCTGGCTGGAGTGACAGAGGAGCAGTTGGTGTACTGGCAGTGAGGACTTGCAGTCACTCAGTACTCAAAGAACTATATGGAACTCCTAACTCTCAGCTCTGCTGTTTCTGCAGGTACTTCAGCATTAGACGGCATCTTCTTTTTGTCCTTCCTTAGTGACGCGGTGTTGAACACGCACAAAGGGAGAAGGCCCCATCAGTATGCACCCACATCTCACAGTAGCTTCCCGTTTTTGCTGGACATGGACCAGCCTGAGAGCTCTCCCAGAGAAAGGGGTGCTGTGTTGATTTGAAGATGTTGACTTGTGGTCACCCAGGGAGGCAGCCACGAGCATAAGGCAGTGAATTGGTAATCCTGGGGCTGCTCACAGCAAAACACATGAGAGGCACAAGCACAGGTAGCTCTGAGGCTGTAACACGTTCCTCTCTCTACCAACATTTAAGTCAATGCTTGTTTCATACATTCTCACTGCTGGCAAAATAAGAGCCAAGATGCTGATAGCAAAAGCAGAGTCCACGTGCTGGTCAAGAAACACCCAAGTCCTGATCCTTTGCTTTTAGATGCAGCATTTAAAGTAAGGACTCCTTTTCTAGACTACTTGGCAAAGCCCCTGCCATGACTTGACCAATGCTGGTGCTCCAGTCACAGCATCTTTGTTGTGCATCAAAAGCAAATTGTACAAGAAAATTCTCAAAGAAAAGGATGGTGGTCACCATTGCTAGTCAAAGCATTGTCCCACCTCTTCTGCTAGATGAGGGCACTTCTGCTACAGGGTCTTAGAGTGCACATCACTCTGGGGTTGCATAAAGAACACCTCTCATTAGCCTGCCACAATGCAAACCATCCTATGATTGAAATGAACAATAAATAAAGAGAAAGACATACAGGTTTTAAATATAGGTTTCCATTAAAAGCATTACAAAGACAACTTCTCTCATTTTGAAAACAAAAAAAAATCCACTTCTACTAAAAAAAAAAAAAAAAGAAAAAATTTAAATCACCCCTTTGCATGGAACTTTAATGAGGAAAGGTGCAGGGAAGGGAGAGAGAGAGAGAGGACTTGGAGAACTAGCAAGTGTTCAGAAGGGCAGATGCCCCCTCCATCTTGCTCATTTTGCAATGGCACCTTCATCTCACACAGTCAGGTCAGAGAGCCAGTCCTCATGTGGAGGATTTCACCACCTGCTCGTAAGGGGGAGGTGGTGTGTTGCAGTAGGAAGGTGGGGGTGGGTAAACCGGGTTTCCTTGTGGGGAATTGGGCTGGACATGGAAAGCCATAGCCATGGGATTCATCACAGGTCCACCCGGGTCTGTGTAATACGGCACTCCAGGTTGTTGTGACCCTGAAAGGAAGAAAAGGAGAGAAGGTATCAACAACAGCAGGGGCATCAAGTCATGCTCTTCCAGCACCTGTGCTCTGCACACTTGGGCAAGCCTTCTCCAAGCGTTCATCAGAGCAAAGACAAGGGGCCACCTTTCTCCCATCCCAGAGAAAACCCAGGCTTGCAGGACGACATTGGTTTCTTAGGATTCTATCAAAAAAACTTTCCATTTTGCATGCAACATAAAGCATTTAGTGAAATAAAGGGCACCACTGCCCCAAGCGACTCCCATTTGAAAGGGAAAAACTGTGAGCCCTGCTCAGCCCCCCAAAAAGAAACACTGCCAAGAGGTGTGGGGTCTCAGATGGACAAAGGGGTTTCCACTGTAGCCCTGAGTCAGGTGTCAAGTCTTACAAAAGGACTTGACAGATTATTTTGTGGTGAATTGGATCTGCCTGTAAGCCAGAGTACATCTCAAATAGATAATATCCCTTCTATGCATGAGATGGCTAAGGAGTAAACTTGTATGAAACAAAAACCCAAGTTGAAGCCAATTATGGCTGGCTAACACAATGGGACAAGACTGCTTCGCAAAGATTAGATTCAGGAAATTATGTTGGAGCCTGCAGGGACACGGAAAGGAAACCACCTGTCAAATGCAAAATTCCTTAGCCATGACACATGAGGAGTAACAGAGACTGTTGCCACATGAAATTACAAAGGTAGCATGTCACCCTCCTCAGATATTGCAGCCAACTGTGGAAGACAACTTAATGCAATTCCAGCAATTAAAGTCACCAACTGTCTCTGTCTTAAGATGTAAATTAGTTTTCTTCTTTCTCTCTACTTAAAACTAGACTGAAAAAAAATTTTTAAAATCATGTCTGAGAACCAGTTTTCTTCTTTTGGTGCTAGTCTGGTTTTCATATAATGACACAGCCTCTAAGGGATTTTCTGCTCCATCATTCCTTTCCGTGACTTAGTGACACTAGGGCTCAGTATTGCCACAGAAAGAATACAGGCTTCTTGAAGCTTTAACCATCCTTTAGTACTTAAAGCATTCAGGAAGGAGCTGCATACTGAACCATGTCCTTACAATATTAAATCAGATGGGCTAAGCCATAAGGCACAGGGATACAAACTACCCTGGAGCCCAGGCTGTCTGCCTAGGGAGCTTTTTTTGGATGCTCAGGACCAAAGAGGATGGAAAACAGGTCAGGAATGCAGATATTTCCTTCCTAACACAGTTTGGATTTGTTTGTTTGTTTTGTTTTGTTTTTTATACACCACCACAATTTTTCCTTTTGCCTGTCTGAGCAAAGAGGACTGTTCTGCAGCCTCTCTTCCTTTGCTGTGGCAACAAGGAGCCCTTGGTCTGCTTCCATGGGTGGCATCAGCATACAGCTGCAGGAGATCCAATCTGGGAACAGGAGCCAAGTCCTACCTCTCCAAAGTTTGGGCTAATACCTTTTTCTGTAGCATTTTTCTTAAAGGATTTTTGTTTCCAAGATAAATTCTGCTCTGCATTTCTGTAGTTTCCATCTGCATGGGGAAATGGGAGAGGCTGAGGTAGCCTGCTGCACCTTGATCTTCAGGAAAGTAACTGCTGTCATTAAAACTTCCATCTATTATTACCAAGTTGGGGTGGGGGGCAAATATGGACACGAATCTTTGGAGGCATTTTTTCAGTTCATTTAACCCAGCAGAAACCAACCTCTGAATATCAACTTCCTCGTGGGATGAGCTCAGTAAGTATTTGTCCACGAAGGATCCCAACTCAGATTTCTAGCACCTGAACTGACAGTTTGGGGCTGTGTAGGCCAGGGCTGAAGTGAAAGATATCACCAGGTCTGCAAACTACTGCTTGTAGGTGAGGTGTTCAATCCATTTTCCCCGTTTGGCTCACAGAAAAAGCACTCCTACTTCCAGGCTGCTGCTGGGATGGCAGAAGATGCTGGCAAGGAGCCATGTTCCAAGGGCTCTGCCTCAACAGTGACCTGGCTATTGCTACAAGGCCTGGAAGAGGAGCTAAAGGAAAATTAGAACTTGGTTGACTACTAATTCTCATTGCTTTCGGTGTTGAATATTCCTGGAATAGTAGAAAGTGAAAAAAAAAATAATAAAAAAAATAAATTGGTGGAGTAAGCTCAGAGCCCAAAGCTTTTAAGTAACACTGACAGTCTGGAAGCAGGTAGCATGAGCAGGTCACCAAAGGGCTTGTGCTTATTTTCTGTCTAGCCACAACTTGTGTTCCATGAAATGTCATGAAAAAATAAAAATATGCTCTAAAACTAAACCTGGTATTTCCCAATCCAGCCAAAGACATGACCTATTCACATCATCCTGAGGTAATTTTTCAGGCTTAAAAATAACCAGTTTAATTAGTTTGGCTCCCCCCAACCTTCCACTGTTGAAAAATAGTCTCTCTGGAAATGCTTGTTCAGTCAAGGAGAAAAACAGATGCAGAATGGAAGGCCTAAGAAAAAACCCTTAGGATTCAAACAAAAAGAGAATAAATCAAGTGTCAGCGTGTGCCTGTAATATTTTTTTATCCATTTAAACCTGTGAGAGAGAGGGGGGAAATGTGTGCCTAGGAGAACATACTTAAGGATGCAACAAAGAGCATTTCCACAGCCTGCACATGACATGCAGGTGTGCAGTGATGGGCATGACAGCAGGGAGAGCCCAACTGCACAGTGCTGATAGTCACAGCTAACCAAAGGGCATTTTCCTAAGGAGGCTGTCTTGATGCAGAGAAATGCAATGGTCCAGAAGACAATTTTTAATCAAGATGTTTGAGGCACCAAATTTTCAGAGAGATCCTCCTCATTACAAAATATTCAGCCGTATTTCTACTTTCAAGGAGGTATGAGACAAAAACAAACTGCCATTTCAAAAAAAAGTTGTCAAAAAAGATTACTGTCCTCTGACTTCAGCACTAATACACCATAAAATAAGATGACAGCCAGGAGGAAAACTGTCAGTGTACCAAGTGTGCCTTCCTCTGTGTGTGTTTGTGTGTGTACTTTGACTGGCACAAATTAGCACTGGTTTATGCAATCTGAAGAGTGGTTAAAAACATCTCAGTTTGGCCTTGTTAGGCAAGGACAAAACAAGCACCAAAGTGTGTGTGCTCAGGTAAAAACCCAGCACTGTAGATGGTCTTCCAACTAGAGACAGAATCATAGAACCATTCAGGTTGGAAAAGACCCTTGGGATCACCAAGTCCAATCATCATCCCTACTCTACAAAGTTCTTCCCTAAACCAGATCCACCAATACCACATCCAAACGACCCTTAAACACATCCAGGGATGGTGACTCCACCACCTCCCTGGGAAGCTTATTCCAGTGTCTAACCACTCTTTCTGTGAAAAAAAAAATCCTGATGTCCAGTCTAAACCTCCCCTGCTGCAGCTTGAAGCCCTTCCTTCTTGTTGTCACCTTGTTGTTACCTGTGAGAAGAGACCAGCACCGACCTCTCTACAGTGACCTTTCAGGTAGTTGTAGAGACTGATGAGGTCTCCCCTCAGTCTCCTCTTCCTCAAGCTAAACATTCCCAGCTCCTTCAAGCCTTCTTCACAAGATTGATTCTCTAGGCCCTTCACCAGCTTTGCTGCCCTCCTCTGTACTTGCTCCAGGACCTCGAGATCTCTCTTGAATTGAGGTGCCCAAAACTGGACACAACACTGCAGCTGTGGCCTCACCAGTGCTGAGTACAGGGGGACAAGCACCTCTCTACTTCTGCTGGTCACAGCCAGGTGCCACACCCAGAAGCCAGGGTGCCACTGGCTTCTTGGCCACCTGAGCACATGGCTAGATTAAAAACGCACTCATAAGGCACCAACAGCTTCTGCTTACAGGTGAGTCTTATTTTGCAGGATTATCCCAACTGGGACTGTCTGACAGCCAGAGAGGAAGAAATAAACTTAGAAAGCAGTATTGCCAGAGGAGCCATCACAAGGTAGATCCTCCTGATGCTCACAGCCATTACTGACCAGAGAAACAGCAATCAGACTAACAAGAGGAGAGGGACCACTCTGCTGCAGAATAACTATAGCTCAGAGCACAGAAGGCAAATAAAAAAGAGAAGAACTGCAAGATAGCCAAATCATGGAAGAACAATGTTAGGCTTTCCTTCACCTCTGCCAGATATTATTAGCTGTATGTGGAAAACTCTTTCTTTGTGTTACTGTTAGTTTTTTATACCTATTATTTTGTCTATGCTGCAAAGTGAGAACTTGCTAGTCTCCTTCCATGGATGGACACACAGCTGTAAAGGTATTAAGAACCACATCAGAAGGGCACTGTCATCCTGGGTTTCAAAATCACTTTAGTACACTCCAGGTGAAGTATGCTGTTTGAAAGGCAGAGGACTTCACTCATCCCAGGAGGTGGCTGCATGGTTTGGTGCAGTGCAAACCCTTGTCCAAATCTCCCAGTTTCCAAAAGCCAAACAAACAAAACCCCAAACCCACTCTTTTTAAATGACCTGGCAAACGTAAGAAAATTGTGAAACTTGTTTATTGAGCCATCTCTGACCTGATGAAGTGTTGACTGGTTGTCTGGTGTAAGACACGTTAAAAGCAGGTTCTTCTACTAGTGGAGGAGGGTACATCCGTCTTCGGATAAAGAAACCAGCTCCACAACAGAACAGAACTCCCATCATCAAAAGGAACCTAGGCAAAGGGAAGAGGGAAGTCAAAACCCACCTGCATTTAAGGCAGTTCACAACCCTAGATTGTTCATTAAGAGAAATAAGACTTTTATTGAGGGTTGGCTCTTGAAAGCAGGTGTATGCCATTGGAGATAGCACTCATGGGACATCTTTAGAGATTAGTACTGTTGTCCAATGCTTCTTGCTTTGTGAAATACAAATATGAAACTGAAATGCCCTTGAACTTTTTGAAAATTCAGGTTCATACCCTGGGATTTGGCACTGGGATTCTGAACTGAAATTCCAGGTTGGTACAATTTCAAACTGAGTATCTTGCACACAAAGCTTCGTGCTTACAGCATTGAGGCTGGCCAGGAGGCTTCTGGGGGACAAAGAGGAATCCTATTCTGCAATTACACTTAGAATATTCTTACATGTTCTTAAACTACTCAGCACTGTAATTTTGTCTCCCATGGGAAATATGGTAGCTGGCATTTAAGCTCAAGCCAGAAGATTGAAGCATTTAGCACTGAAGATGATAAGCTTTGTTTCATGCTTCTAAATGAGATATCCATTCTCAAAGAGAAGGACATCATCTTGCTTCAGTTACTCTCCTCTGAGCTCCTCTTCTGACCTGACTAAACTGTCCTCATCATTCCCTTGCCCTGGTGCTGTGGAAACAGGCACATGCAGCAAGGGCAGGGCAGATTTTGTTCTCCAGACAGTGGCTTTCACTGCATTTCCTGGGTTTAGCTATTAGACATGCTAGTGACTGCTGCAAGCTCCTGTAAACCCAAATGGTTCTTCAGGCTGTAAATGCCACCTCAGGGGCCCTTTAGTGGAAGGCAGTAACAACTGTGCCCTTATGGAAGGGATGGAAGTTGGCCAGAGGCCATCAAAATTGGCCTGAGACAAGCCAACACACCTTGCTTATATCACCTTTGGGAGCACACCCAGGTCCCTGAGAGGAATAGTGTGAAACTGTATGGCAGGAAAATGTATTTCATGCAAAGGGTCAAATTCTGTTCTTGTTTCCACAGTGGAAACGAGAGCAGAAGGAGGTCCTGTTTCCCTGAGCCAATATTAAAACATTCCCTTTTGGCAGCATTCCT